CTGTATCACCCTGCTCCTTTATCACACCTCTAGATCATTTAAAAATATCACACACACACCACACACCCACCCCTGAAATTTCCTAACTTCCAATTCCAGAGACCCTGAGCACCCCCATCTTACTTTTCCCCAAACACTGAGCCGAGTTCCCACACGCTCGAGGGACTCGACTCTGCAGACTCAGCACCATGAACCTGTAGACGGGAGTGGAAGAGTAGCACCGAGGTAAGGCACTGGTGCCTGCCAGAGAACCCACAGCTGTGCAGCAAAGCTGCATCTATGAGGTTAGCTGGGGAGAGACTGGGAGGACCTTCTGACATGGCCATTCTGGGAAAGTGCAGGTCACATCCAGAAGAGGGAGTTCGAAGAAGGGGCAACAAGTGCAGATGGACAGAAACAGAAGTAGGAGACTGGGCAGAGCACAGCCACACTGCCCCTCACATGAGCCACAACAGACTCAGTTTCATGCTGCACTCCTCAGAAAGCCTCTCCCATCAAGAGTCAGTCCCCCCCCCCCCCCCCCCCCCCCCCCCCCGTGACACCACCCTCCTTCCTCTCCCAGAAACTTTTTGGTTATCTGCAGAAAAAGGCTTTGTCCTCTGGGACACACACCCCTAGCTCTGGCCCAGTATGTCTCCACATGTGCTCATCTGCTCTTCAAGATGTGATCTTTAAATAAAATGACCAACTCCCAAACTGCCATCTGTCCTCTAAGGGTCAAGCCAGCACAGCCCTCTGGACACAGGGCCAGAGTGCCACTCTGCCTATGTCCTGCCTCTTTACATCAGCATTACAGAAATTACTCTGACTGAAAGCAGGGCCACTAATGCCCAAAGCAACCCTAGACTACCCAAATATCATCAAAGTCAGAGCCAGGACATCTGCAATAATTCCATCTGACACCAACAATGCAGGCTAAACTGTACTGACATGCCCTGGCTTAAACAATTTACAATGTATAATCATATTTCAAAAACAAACTACTACGGAGAAACAACTTCAATGATGGAGCAGAGCACTATACTTCAGAGAGCAAAGGACGCTCACAAAGCACAAGGAAGAAACTATGTGACCTGTATATAAGTCCCTCAACTCAGTGGGTCCAAGCCCAAGTCTCATTATAGCACCTATTTTGCTAAGTGGGACCCTCTATCTTTTCAACTGTCCAAGCTAGAAGCCCCAGACACCATCTGCCTCATCTACCAAGTCTTGTACACTTACCTCACCAGTCTTCTCTAAACACATCATTTACTTCACCTGTTTCTCCCGAAGTCTCCCTCCCCCATCCACTCTAATGAAAAATATCAGATTGTTCTTACTCTGCTTACAATTTCTCAGTGAGTCCCATTCCACTTGCATTGCATTTTCCAACGTCTATGGCTTTAAAAGAACATGCAACAGGGTTGGTGGCACATGCCTTTAATTCCAGCACTCAGGAGACAGAGGCAGGAGGGATCTCTGTGCGTTCAAGGCCAGCCTGGTCCACAGAGTGAGTTCCAAGACAGTCAGAGACCCTGCTTCAAAATGAATGAGTGAATGAATGAATGAATGAGCACAACCTTTTATTATGCAGCTAACAGGTCCCCAATATAATATAATTTGTAAAACTAAACATTCCATTGTAAATACACACAATTTTTGTAACTATAAAAGAACAGGTTATGTTAAGTAGCTCAAAACCCTAAACCCAAAGTCCACAATTCTTAAGATTTTTACCTAATTTCTTGTAGACATTTTTCCATTCACAGGTTTTAGTGGAAGATTACTGAAATTTTTGTGTATTTGTATCAAGTCTTTAGCGGTGTGTCCTGGTTTTCCTTTACCTAACAGTTATAGCTTTTTAATTTATTTCCTTGGTATACATTTTAAGTGGCAGCATTATCTAGTGAATAGATCATCACCATTTTACAATTAAACCTTAAGATCATTCTACATAATTCTGTGCATAAAGCTTTTTACTATATTTAAAAATATTCCTTTAATAGTTCCCATGCCAGGAAACACAAGTACTGTGAGGCTTGATCTATACAGCTAATGTACGTAAGAATATACACTGGCACTGGACCCCTTAAACACTGAACAGTGACTCTTCTCTGTTAAAGGACAGAACTTGCAGCCTCTTCCTACAAGTTAATGCTCATATAAACACCAGGAAATGCAACAGCACACGGAAGGGAAACTGGCCCCCAGGGTTTCCCTGCAGAATCAACCACAGTTTCCATGGACTCTAGGTATTTTTCTGTTTCTAATCAAACACGTAACTATTTTGTTCTGTATGTTACAAAAACAGAATGAGCTTGTCTTTGTTCAATAGCGCACTACAGACACCTATCAGGCCACCTCTTTCAAAGCCAATCCCCCCCCCAACCCCCAAAATGCCAAGCTTCCCGTGGTTATCTTCAGCTCTTCCTGATCTTGTCAGAGCTTCAGGCACATTGATGACCCCCAGAAGCTGTCAGAGGTTTCGGCAAATTCATCTACTTGTTTAGTCTAATGTTTTAAAAAAATATTTTCTACACAGTATCACTGACGAAATCTGGACAGATCTTTACTTTATTTTATGTGTATGGGTGTTTTGCCTGCATGTGTGCCTGTGTACCATGTGCATTCCTGGTGCCCAAAGACAGAAGAAACTGGACAGTTGTGAGCTGTCAAGTGGGTTCTGGGAATTGAACCCAGATCCTCTGGAAAAATATGTGTGTTGTGTGTTTAAAGTGCCTTTTTGGTTGGGAACATAGACTCAATGACAGAGAAAGTAACCTGGCACTTTCGAAGGCCCTGGAGTGGGGGAAAAGTGTTTTTGCTCTTGCTTTTATTGAGTCCCATCTCTTAAAAGAAAAAACCAGGTCTTAAAAAAAGAAAATCAAGCCATCTATTTTGGCTTCACTTTAGTGGTGTGAACTCACCATGAGCTCTAAGAACCAGGTTGCCTCTCCCGAAGGGCACAGTGACATGGCCAGTGTGGTCTTCCCACTTCAAATCTCCATCTCACATCCCCACTTTCTGCATGTGGCAACTGGAGAGGTTGTTTAAAACCACATTTCTAACCTGCCCTTCGAGTAAAGGCCCTAGACCATCTGCCCCCAGGTTAGGCTTTCCCTAACCACCACGCAGCCATGCCTTAGCTCCTGCAATGAGCACTCCTTGCCCTCTCTTTAAGGCCTTCCCACATGCTGTTCCTCTGCTGGAAAATTAGCCCCTACTTCACTGACACCAGGGCTTACTCATCCCTCAAATCCCAGCTTAAATCTTGTTTCAGGGGGATGGAGGAGGCATTCAGGGCCCTCAATCTAAAATGTGGTCCTCCTTTGTACGCTCTCTCCCAGCAGGTGCTGCCTAACTTTCCTAGCAGATAGCCTAGTCTGCTCCTCTACAGCTTATAAACTCTTATAAAGAGAACAAGGCCAAACTGGGTTTTCTTAAACTGCTTTAGGTACTCACATACATCTGAATGAAAAACAAACAAAAACCCAGAGCTACAAAAGGTGCTGACTGAATTGACTGTATCTTAAAATGCTACCCCATCTCATCACTACCTCAGCTGGTAAGACTTTCTGATACACCTACAAACTCGTAGGAGACCCTTTTCCTGAAAGGGACTAAGAGGCAACCTGAATCTTCTGTAGCCATAGGAGAGCATGCAGAGAATGTACACCAGGAAAAAATAAGTTTGTTTAAATGTCGAAGTAAGATTTTAGCTAAGCAGATTGAAGACACTCTGATCCAGTTAACTAATTGATGTGCTTTTTTTTTTTTTTTTAGGAGTAGAAAATCACTAGGAAAAAATGTGCCTTGTAAAATATTCATTAGAAACACAGTATTGTCAGTATTTCAGAAAAATTGTTACCAAGACCCGAAATTTAAAAGCTTCAAAGTTGCCTGTCGTAAATTATCTATGCTATTGTTCATCTGATGAAAAAACACTACACACATTACATTGCAGGTGGGAGGGGGCTGGGTATCACCAAGACTAATCAAACCAGTCTCTGGTTACTGCTTTCCACTCTCCAACTTTCACACGGCTTCAGTGAGGTCTGTGCAGTAGACAGACCTTTATAGAAAGGGAGGCTCTCAGTGTCCTCCTCGAGGTCACAGCCATGGTAAGAACAGTCTGCAATCCCCTCAGGGAGGGCTGAGATGCCCAACTGTAAATTTCTAGGAAACCCCCCATCATAAATTTTCCATCCTAGAGTTAGCATGGCTCTGTGGCTCTCTCCAATAAAATTCCATCTTACCACAGAGCGCCACTTGATCTTTAAAAGTCGTTCTATAAAATTCAAACTTCAATTGCCATCACTGCGAGACACGGTTAAACAAGCAACAACAGACCCAAACGCTAGAGCACCAGGCCACCGTTCTGAAAAACGAGTTAAAGCATGACATGGTAAAAGGGGGAAAATGCATAACTAGTTAGTACTCTACATGACGGAAAGCCCTCCCATAAAATAATTTCTTAAAGCTCTAGGGTACACATCACGTGCATAATAGTTGTGGATGAAGATGGGCTGATGGAGTTGTCATCTGTGCCTACATTCAGCTTTACAAGAAAACATCTTCCTCCGCTCGCTCATCTACTGCTAATTTCTAAATCTTAACCTGAGGGTGGGACGAGGAGGTCACTACTTTTCTCCTCTGGGAAACTCCACACCTACCTAGTAAGTAGAGGGCCCTCTAAAGGACTCCCACCCCTTTAAAGCGATCCGAGGTTTCAAGGGCGCACACCGTCCCTGGCAAGGAGGCACTGGCGTGGGACTGTGACTTCCGATCCCGGGGCTCCTTTGTTGCAAGGGGCACACTCGAAACTCCGGACGGGGACAGGCGCATCCCCGAGGCCGACTTGCGGGGAGTTTGGCCAGAAAGGTCTCATAAAGAAGCCGAGTTCGCGGAGAGCGGAGACCTGGCTGGAGACGCGGCCGGCGCGGCTGAAGGGGAGGCCGCGAGGGAGAGGGGCGCGTGGGGCTCGGCGGCAGGGGAGTTGCGCGCACCTCCGGCCGGCTTACCTGCGGGGAGCTGGGGGGGGGGGGGCGGCCCAGGCCAGGCGGTGGTCAGACAATGGAGGCGTCCGGCGGCAGCAGCCAGGCTTGCTGGGGCTGCGGGGAGGTCCTCATCACCTCGGCGGGATGCTGGGCGGCCTCGGCCGGGGCTGTGCGGGGCTGGAAAGGACACGCCACAGCGCCATGCAGCGGGCCGCTCCGCGCCCCCCTGCGCCCCGGCTCGCGCGCGCGCGCGGCCATTACCGCCCTCCCCGGGACCCGCCTGGATCCGCTCCAGGGCGCGGCCCTCGGCTCCCAGGGCTGCCGCGCTCCCGCCCGCCTCGGCCCCCGACAACAATGGGGCCCGGCCGGGGAGTCCAGCTCCCACGGGGGCCTCTCCAGCTTCGCCCCGGCCCGCCCCGGGCCTGTGCCGCAGCGGACGCCGCGCTGACCTTCCCTCCTCCTCGCCATGCCCGCGCGGCCCAGGCCCGGCGGAGCGATGGGTTGTTTCCCTTTCCTTCACCCTCCCCCCCACCCCCGACTCCATCGCCTTCCGCCCCTAGCCCGCTCGGCGGCCCACGCCCCGTCCTGAAAAGCCAAGACAGACAGACGTACACACTACCGTCGCCCGGTCCAACTCACTCCCAAGTGCGACTGCGGAGCGCGCCTAGGCCGCGGACTCGGCGCGCGCCCACCGGCCCTCTCCCCCGGGGGGGGGGGGGAAACACCTCACAGGTGCGCCTCCGAGACTCGCGCGCGCGCGCGCGCGGTCCGCACACCCAGACGCCTCCGGGGCGGGGGGGGGGGGGGCGGGGGGAGGAGGAAGAAACGGCGCGCGTGCGCACGCGCGCGAGGCCGGGCCCCCTCCCCCTTTCCCCTTCCCCCCCGCCCGGAGAGGGGCGGGGGAGAAAAAGGAGGGGGCGCGGCACGCATGCGTGCCTAGCGGCTCCAAGTCCCCGCCCCCCTCCGCCGCCCGCACACGCACGCACGCACGCACGCACGCACGCACGCGCGTTCCCGCGGCTGGGCTGCTCCACCTCTCCGTTGTCCCCGCCCCACCCCGCCCTGGTTACCAAGGGCAACCGCAGTGCGGCCGCACCTGAGCAGTGCGCTTGCGTGTTACTAACATCCCTCCGTCTTTCCCTCCTCCTCCTCCTCTTCCTCGCCCTCGCCTCTGCCCTGCCGCAGTCGGCAGGGAGCGGGGCGTCGCCCCCTTCCCCTCTGCAGAGATAGCATCGATCGGCCCGGCCCTCCCCTCGCCAGCAGACCGCCGCCGCCGCCGCCGCCGCGTCGGCGCCGCATCCTCCCCTTAGACAACCTCGGGTGCGAGGACCAGCCCGGCCGCCAACGGCTCCCGGCGTGCACTGCGGCGAGCGCTCTCAGGGAGCGGGCGGGATGCGCCGGCCGGGCGGTGTCTCCTGAGTCTCCGTGCCCCGCGGCAGGGCCGCTGCGCACCCGGCTCCGACCGTCCCTGCCCATGGGCCGCGGACCACCGCGAGGAGCAGGCCGAGCGCCGCAGCCGCCTGAGGGACCGTGGCAGGTGAGGCGCGCACCTGGCGCGGATAAGGAGGCGGCTCGCCCGCGGGGCTGGGCGCCGCCGGGCTGCGCACACCGGCGCGGCGGGGGAGGCGCGGCGCAACGGCCGCAACCGCCGACCCGGGCGGAGGACGAGCCGCATTGCAGGTGCGGGGCAGCGCCCCGGGGGTCCGGCCCGAAGCCGGCGGGATGCTGTGGGCCTCGGCCGCCCGCCCGCCCGCGCCGCACCTGCAGCATCCCGGACCTGCAGCCCTGGCGACCGGGAGGCTCCGTGTAAGAACTCCGCCCTGGGCTCCCGGGGACCCGCGGACGCGCGCCCTGGCCACGCTCTCCCCTGGTTGCGGTCGGTCTCCTCGGGCTCGACCCGGCCCCGACCCGGCCCCGCGGGCTGATGTCAAGCCTCGGGTTATCTTTCGCTGCACGGTCTAGTCCACTGATGACAGTGAGGTGGCCGAGGAGAAAAATGTGACCGTGCTCTGTGACAGGTGGCACCAGTCGGTTTCATAACAAAGTACGGGTTTCCAGACACCTTTCGGAGTGTTCAAAGCAGCTGGGCGTGATGGCGCACGCCTTTAAATTTCAGCTCTCGGGAGACAGAAGCAGGTGAATCTCCGAGTTGAAGGCCGACCTTGGCTATATAGCGAGTTCCAGACAAGCCAGAGGGCTACATGGTGAGACCTTGTCTCAAAGAAAAAGAGTGTTAAAACCAGGATCGCTGTCTACAAACTAAGTTTGGAATTTATTTAAATAGCATTGGTATTATTTATGTGCACAGACAAGAATGCCCTGGCATTTTCTCGCCATTCAGTTGTAAGGAAAAAGACGCTAGCATTCCAAATGACTTTTACCTCCAGTTTTTCTTGTTTTCCTTTTAAAAGGCGAACTATTCACCAAAATGGCTGAATATTATGTTTGGAAGAAAGGCTTTAAAACTTTAAGACGGGTATACCACTACTAAAAAGCCTTAAAATAATTTGGATTGCTCCTTCTCTGTAGCATATTATAATCAATTAGTTTCGTTTAGATTTTTCTTTTTGGGTTTGCAGTGTGGAAGATTGAACGCAAGACTCCACACAGCGTAAGCATGGACTAGAATTTTCCTGTAACACACTTAAATATCTCAAATTGATGTTTTGGAAATTAGACATTTTTGACATTGACTCTTCTCAGACACAAGAATCCTTTTGTTTAGAATAGCTCACTCATTCTGGGTTCTTAATGCTCATCTGTCCTAGGTTGGAAAATCGATTTTAGCCTCATTATCTAATTGTCAGGATGTGTTTGCGGCAGGACTGATGTTAATTACAATGTTGATGCTTTTAAGAAATACTTGTAAAGCATTCTCTCGTATTTCTGGCAAGAAAATATGCAGAGCTTTTTTTCTTCTGTCTAAAACAAGGTCAGCCATAAATAGATCGTAATGCATACTGGGCGACACATTTATTAACTGAGATTAACTATCTCCTGAACTTCATATACTCTGAGGGCAGTGGCGAGGCGCCCAGCAGGGCCGTACATACAGAGGCTGCTGCAAGTGCAAGTTCCAGACCAGCTAGGTAGGCTCTGATGTTTCATCCCCACAGAAGCTTTTGGCAGGGAAGGGCCTGTGTCCTAATGGTCTTCAGACATTTGAAGGTCTGCCTTGCAGGAGGGATTTTATTGCTGTAGAGTAATTCCTGAGCAAGGAAGAGGACACTGAGTACTTACAGGAAGACAGCATCCCTGGTGCTATAAAAGCAAAATTACGATCAGAACTTCAGCAGCGAAAAGAAGGGGGGCTACCCTTCCTTGGGCTCCCTCCCAGTGCCTCATGAATGACAGCTCAAGTCTGGAAGGGCTGTGTGTGGGTGGGTGGGGGTGTTCTGTTAGACTGTCTCCCAGGGTTCCAGTGGCCACTAGATTCCAGGGTGTCTATGTTTCCCTCCTAGCTCTGTGGGTTTGTTGTTAAATGTTCTGCTGCTGGCTTCTCCAGCTGTGTGCATATTGACATCCCCAGACATCCACTTGAATCCTGGGAAGATTGTAACTGGGTTCCCTGCTTGATGTGGGAGGTGACTCGAACCCTATTTTGTGTTGTTTTCGGGAACTTAGAGATTGTAAAGCGCTCCCACATGAGTGTGTTGGAAATGTGTTATCTACTTCTCTGGCTTTTCTTTTTGTACTAAGCACCTAGTCAAGAGAAGTATCTTCTCTATAAAGAAGTAAGAAGTCGTTCTTGCTACAAATGAAGTGGTACCATTTGTTCTCTGAGAGTCAGCAAGTTGTAAAAGTGTGCTTTCCTGAGCTGAGGACGTTACAGATGGGAAAGAGATGACTCTGGTGCTTGCTCTGCGTTTCACTTTGTTTATTTCATTACTCAAATATGACTCAAGCTTCATAGCAAAACAGTCGAGTCATACCTACCTAAAGTAGTTGTATTCAGTGTTTTCTGCATGGTTTCTAAATATAGCCAGAGTAAAACAAAACCAAAAAGTAGAACCACTGCGAATTGGAGAGAGGGCAAAAGGGGGCTGTCTCAGTTAGGGTTACTATTGTTGTCATGAAACACGATGACCAAGAGCAGCTTGGGGGGAAAGGGTTTATTTCCCTCACGGTTCCATATCACAGTTCATCAAAAGCAGTGAGGGCAGGAACCTGGAGGCAGGAGCTGCCGCAGAAGCCATGGAGGAGTGCTGCTTCCTGGCTTGCTCAGCCTGCTTACTTACAGAACCCAGGACTAACAGCCCGGGGTGGCCCCACCTACAATGGGCTGGGCCCTCCAACATCAGTCACTAATTAAGAAAATGCCCGTGCCGGGCGGTGGTGGCGCACGCTTTTAATCCCAGCACTCGGGAGGCAGAGCCAGGCGGATCTCTGTGAGTTCGAGGCCAGCCTGGGCTACCAAGTGAGTTCCAGGAAAAGGCGCAAAGCTACACAGAGAAACCCTGTCTCGAAAAACCAAAAAAAAAAAAAGAAAATGCCCTCCAGGCTTGCTTACAGCCCACATCTTATGGAGGCATTTTCTCAATTGAGGCCCCCTCCTCTCTGATGACTCTAGTTTGTGTCAAGTTGACATGAAACTAGACAGCCTAGGAGCTTTATAATTGAGGAAGATAGAAGATGTGCCTTTTTTGTGCTATGTCAATCTTAATGAACTGATTGACAATGGGAATAACGATGTCACCATTAGAAGAATGACCAAACTCCCAGGTGTGTGCACTGATTGGGGTTAGCACTCTGGGCTGTAGCCGATGAACAGAGCAGGTTCCTGGGAGCACAGAGGTCTGAAGTGCAGCAGGATGGTCACGGGGCCAGTGGAGTTAAACTGTTGGATCCTCTGGACCTGGAGTTCCAGATGGTTGTGAGCCACCATATAGGCTCTGCATGAGATCCGTTGTCATGGGAGTCTTTCCTAGGCCATTGTAGTGGGCTTTTGCCTTCCCATTTGTTGTGCAGTTAGAGTTTGTGAGCCTGGAAGTCCATTTTCATATTGACCTTGCTTAAGGTATGTCTGCTACTGCACGTTGCAGTTCCCAGCATCATTGTGGTCCTGGCCATCTGAAGGTTGCACATTTTACCCAGAAGTGAAAAATTACACTGAAAAGGGCCATCTTTGATATCATTGGGGGGAGGGGTTGTGCATAAAACACTGGCTTCACAAGAGCAAGTTTTGTCCCTGTTGTGGATGACTACCCTGGTATTGCTAATGGTTCCTAAGCTAATTTCTCCAGTGATGGATGAAGTAGGAAGCCATGCTCATGCCGTACTCTGATATCAAAGAAGCTTTTTTTGAACTCACCCCTCCAGCCATCGCATACATCACCCTAAGCAGAAGGCACAGGGGTTATTTCTCCTCCCTGACTAGGGCATGATAACAAATCCCCATTGAGAGGCACCAAAGTCTTGCCCTTTGATAGGGAGGATGAGGAAAGTCCTTGGAGACAAGAACACAGCAGAGGTCACCAGTACTGGCTGTCCTTTTCAGGGTGTGTCAGTCTTTGTCTTTCATAGTGTGTCATCGCTATTTTTTGATTGGATATCTGTGACCAGACCAGAAACCTCCAGAAGCTGAGAACAGCATCTTTCAGCCACGAAAGCAGTTGCTTGTGGGCCTCCCTGTTGCTCTGGGTAAGGCGAGGTGGTCCTTTGGCCAGGGAAGAAGGATGTGTAGCCTGCACCTGGCAATAGGTCTAAAGTAAAAATACTTCCCAGGAAGAAAGTGGTCAAGGGCCAGCTAGGGGGCTTTGCAGCACCCTGGCAGTACTTTACAGAAACTGAGCCCAGGCACTTACTCCAAGCCTGATGACCTGATTCGGATCCCCACATCCTCCATAGTAGAACCAGCTCCCCGAAACCGTCCTCTGACCTTCATACGTCTATCATAGTGCATGTGCACACAAAACACCCAACATACAAAACAAAGTTTAAGTGGTTGAGGCCGTTTTTGGTAGTCTGTCTTGGCATCAAGACTATGGTATTAGGGTCCAGTGAAGAGAACACCAAGGCCAGACCTCACTGATGGGAGCAAAGAGAGAGGGACATTAAGCTGAAAAAAAGCCAGAGCAAGACCTTCTTAGAGACAGGCGGGAGTGGTCTTTTGGGGTGCTCTTGTGTCTCTGGCAGTCTAAGAGGCCTGTTCCTACATGAGACCTGGCCTGGGACAGGTGCAACATGGAGAGAATGGGTCAGCTCAAGAACACCTTGACAGTGCTATTCACCAGCCTAGAAGTTTCATAAAGCAGGTCTGATGGGAGATAGTGTGTTGTTGTTGTTTGTTTTTGCTCTTTTTTGGGGGCCCGCCACCCTGCTCCCAAATAAATCACACACGGAGGCTTATTCTTACTTATGAATGCCCAGCCTTAACTTAGCTTAGTTTCTAGCCAGCTTTCCTTAACTTATTCCATCTATCTTTTGCCTCTAGGCTTTTCCTGTTCTCTTACTTCTGTATCTTACTCCATAGCTTGCTGTGTAGCTGGGTGGCTGACCCCTGGAGTCTTCCTCCTTCGTCCCTCATTCCTAGATCCTTTTCTCTCCTACCAGTTTCCCTCTGTATATACTCTGCCTGCCAGCCCCGCCTATCCTTTCTCCTGCCTTGCTATTGGCCATTCAGAGCTTTATTAGTCCATCAGGTGTTTTAGACAGGCACAGTAACACAGCTTCACAGAGTTAAACAAATGCAACATAAACAAAAGTAACACACCTTAAAATAATATTCTACTAAATTCCCCCCTTTTTGTCTAAATAAAAATAAAGGTTTTAACTTGAACATAGTATAACTATATACAACAAAAACAGTTATCAAGAATTAATTTACAATATTCAGTCCATTTGTAGTTAGCTTATTTAGAGAAAATAATGCATTATCTATCCTATCTTCATGAATCCAAAGTTTTCCACCTAACTTATTTTCTATCATAACTAACAAAAACTGCAACTACAACTATTTAGTCTTTAACGCCATCAAAGACCCAGAAGGATATAATATTATCTAACAACAGAGACATTTGGCTGCCTGGACAGTTACCCAACGTTCATCTGCAACATTGGAATGTCCATCTTCAGTCTACAGGCCCAGAATATCTGGCAGACTTTTCTATGAAGTAGGAATTTTGGACTTTCCTGCCTTGTTTTGGCAAAGTTCATCAGTCACTTTCCTCTGTGTCATGCTGAATGTCTGGCAGTTTCTTCTATG